GGAGGAAGACGGGGTTCTGCGGGCCCTGGTCCATGCCCCTGGGGAGCTGAGCTGCCATGACGGGGAAGGGGGCGGGCCTGGGGATGGCGAGGAAAGGTACAGAGCGGAGTGTGGGGAAACAGGAATGATTCGCTCGGCCATGCTCCATGGTGACGTGGAGGTGTGGGTGGGGGGCCGGCAATGGCCCCATCCAGCCCCAGCCTCCACCAGCCCCCAGACTGGCTTTGTAACTCAAGGAACTGGCGTGGGGTTGGAGGAGAGACACCGAGAGGAGATCTGTGCTGTGGGCTTTGCGCTCAGGCTGGTGGGAAGACCAGACGGTCTCCTCTGCCCACTTGGGAGATGCTCAGACCTCTTCCCAGCAGGAGGTGGGGGTTGACTGTTGGACGTCAACCCTCTGCCCACTGTCCCCAGGAGTGGGTGCTGGTGCGGGGCCGGGCCCAGGCTCTGCGCTCAGAGCTCCTCGTGAACCCGCTCCTGGTCCTCATCCGTCTTCAGCTTGAGCTCGTCGCTGGTGATCTTGCCGTCCTGGTTGCGGTCCTGGTTCTGGAACATGTCCCCGATGGTTTTCTCCACGTCCTGCCCCGGCAGGAGGCGTCCTTTGCCCTCACTGACTTGAGCCTTGATGAAGGTGGAGAACTGGGGGAGAGGAGAGCCGGGGAGGGGGAGCGTGAGCCTCGTGCCTGAGTGGCCTTGGGGGGCCTTGGCCAGGGCCCCCGGGGAGGCCAGCCAGTGAGGACAGAGGAGAGGAGCTGGGGCCGGGACAAGGGACCTACAGCACGGGCCCGGACAGGAGGGTGGACATGTGCCCCGTTCTTGCCAGAGGCCGCCAGGCGAGGTGAGAGTGTGGGAACGGGTACTGTAAGGGCTGCATCCTCACCCACCTCCTCTGGGGGGACCTGGCCATCTTTGTTGAGGTCCAGGTCTTCAAACAGGTTGGCGGGAGGGTCCTGGTGCCACACAAACAGGTAGCCTTCGGGCAGCCCCTCCTCCCGGGAGATGAGCTCCACCTCGAACAGCAGCACAGCACTGCCAGGGACCCCCCGGGCTAGCGGTGGGAGAACGGAAGGAGCCCGGTCAGGCCTGGTCCGGGCCTGGCTTTGCGGCCTGCCCAGTGTTCCCAGCTCCAGGCCTGGGACCCCTCTTGGAGGCTGGAGAGTGGGGGGACATGGGGTGTTCACAGAACCAGCCGAAAGGGGTTAAACAGGTGGGTCAGACCGGACCTGCCCCTCACCTCCACTCTCCCCGTGTGCCAGGTGCGGGGGGACCACCAGCTGCCGCCTCTCCCCCACACACATGCCCCGCAGGCCTGTGTCCAGTCCTTCGATCACCTTGTTGGCCCCCAGAGTTGCCTCCTGGGGGGCCCCGTAGTCATGCCTGGGGAGGAGCAGATTCCCAGGTCAGTGCCCTTCCCCGTCCCACAGTTCACACCTCACGGGTGCCCACCCCACGCAGCTGCATGCAGGGCCCAGGCTCGGATGGACACCCTTCTCGTCTTGCCATGGCCCCTACCATGTGGCCTCGGGGCTCAGCTCCCCTACCGCAAGCTTCACCCTCCCTTCCCCTTCCTGCCCCTTCCGCTCCCCAGAGACTGGAACTGATGGAGAAGGGGGTGCTATATGGAGGTCTCCCCTCACCTGGGCCCACCCATCTGCCCTCCCCCGGCCCGCCCCAGACCCACGAGGAGAAGAGCTTGGTGCCGTCCAGCAGAGAGCAGTTGTAGTGGTAGCGAACGAAGTCCCCCGACTTGCTGGTCTCGTTGCAGGCCTCGGGGGGCCGGGACAGGGTCCTGATTTCCACTGGGTCCTCGGGGTTATGGAAGTCGATGACGTGGACGTCAAATATCAGCACAGCGGAGCCAGGGATCTTGTCTCCTGGGACCAGAATGGGGCGCGGGTCAGCTTGGCGTCCAGGAGGGGCCCCCCAGGGTCTCCGTGAAACTGCCCTGGGGTTTCACACGAGAAGGGGATGGGGTGTTTGTCCACATAATCGGGTCTCCGAGGGGGCAGGGAGGGAGGGACCTGCCGGTGAGAAAGCCCTTTATACCCCGAAACCTCCGAGTGACTCACCTGGCTGATCAAGGGGATTAGTCCCATCTTACAGGTGAGGACGCTGGCCTTCCAGCAAAGCTGGGTCTCAAATCCAGGTCTCTGCTTCCCAGGGCTAGGCTGTCTCTGTTTTTCCACAAGCACCCCCTCCCCAAACTCAGGAGCACGTTCCCAGGAGGGAAGAGAAGTGGGGGGACTGCCCTGGAGGGAAGGATGGAGTCCGTGTGGCAGGAACCGTGGGGGTGACCGGTTTTGTGATGAGAGGGCAGAGCAGGGGAAGGTCACTGAGGGGTTCAGGAGAGGAGCTG